ATAGAAAAATCCTAACTTCTGCAGATGAACATCTTGTACGCCGCGCTGCTTACCATTGAAACCGTCTCGTCCTCCGCTTTCAGAAAATATATACTTTGTTTGGGGTCCTTCAGAAAAAGTGCGGGTGAAGGGTGGGTGAGACTTTTATAATGGGAGTGCTCAAGTACAGGCTTTTTTACCATTGTAAAAAGACGTCTACTTGAGCACCCCCATTATAAATATCTCACCCACTTTTCCTAACGGACTCTAGGCAAAGTATATATTTTCTGAAAGCAGAGGACGAGACGGTTCCAATGGTGGCTATCAAGGCGTACAAGATGTTTATCTACAAAAGTTATGAATTTTTTTATGTTAAAAACTCGAAATTTCCCAAAAATCACTAGGCACACCCTTCACCGCACTTTCTCGAACAAATATCAGATATGCTATATGCTTTCTGAAAGCGGAGAACGATACGGTTCCAATACTTATGGATGTGCCGCCACTCTCTTGATGGCAGATACCATACTAGATCATAACTTAGCCTCGGACATGTCCAAAAACACTTTCCAACATACGCGTTTATCGTTATAGCACCAAAATAACAATGATATCGATACCCCGATAAAAACAAACAACAACAAAGCACAAGAATAAAGAGATCTGAGCCCATAGACGAGGTGGCTCGTTGGTCGTCGGTTCCTCACTGTCTTCAGATCGCTCCTCCCTCCTTATCTAGTGGCATCTGGCGAGCGACGGCGCGGAGCAATCTGTAAACAAAGTATATGGGAATCGTAGATGATGGCAACATTACATGATTGAGGGGACTTATTAGGAGAAAACAAAAGAATAAACTGTGAGTATAAGTATCTTACCTGATAGATATAACCGTAAATACCATTTACACAATGGTGACCATCTCGTCGTGAAATATATTCATCTACAAAAGTTATGAATTTATTTATGTTGAAAACTCCAAAATGTCCAGAAATCACTACTCACACTCGTCACCAAGCACTTTTTTCAACAGACTCCTCCATTCCTGTAACTAAACAATTCACGTACATATATCTCTTTTACTTAACCTCACCTCATTGTTGACTTTTTTCTCGGCTTTTGGTGAAGGGGGTCACCTTGGTATAGGCTCAGGGGTGAAGAGGGGGTGAGAAAATTCTCACACTATCACCTATGTGCCGCAATAAGAGAGACAGCAAAGAAACACGGAAGAAATAAGAAAAAAGCTCGTGCAAGCGGTTGGCTGAAGGGCGCTTCTGTCGCGCTCTGCCACGGTCGGCCTGCTCCAGTTCGAATTCAAATTCGACCACCGACCGAGTGGGGTGAGGACGGCTATAGCTGCGCCCGAGCGATGCATGGCGAAAGGCAGAGGCGATTTTGTCAGATATAAATGGCAAACATAGTGGAAGTTTGTTGGTATTCTGAATGCGATCACCGTGTGTTGGATGCCTTCGTAGATACAGAATAATCATTACTGCAAGCTATTTGTGGGACCAAGTGTTGCGCTTCGCGGCGTTCATCCCCTCCGGAGCATACCAATGCCGCCGTTTCAAATATGTTTTTTACAGCGCGTTTGATGTACAGGGCTTTTCAACATAAGATCACAGCCTCCGCTTGCGCGGCTCCTCCAAAGCGGCCGCCTCGCTTAGGCCGCGCGCGGCGTTTGCGGCGCATCGTGCGGGCATTTTGCCAAGCTTCAGTCGATGCGCCGCCTTGTGCATTCGTCGGCGGCATTGATTGAGACCTGGCAAAATGCCCGGACGATGCGCCACGAACGCTGCGCGGACCTAAGCATTGCGGCCGAGCGGGGCGGCTGTGACATTCAGGTTGTAGAGCCCTGTACATAAGATGTGCGAGTTGACGTTTGAGTACGTTTAACTGTCCTTACGATACCATTTCATTTTTTTGTTTGTTTCGAAGAGGATGAATGCCGCGAAGCGCGACGCTTGGCCTCGCAAATAGCTCGCAGTGATGTTTATTCAGTATCTACGCGAAGGCATATCCCACATACGGTGATCAGATTCAGAACACCAACAAACTCAAACTATGCCATTTATATATAACGAAATCGCCTCTGTCTTTCGCCAATGCATTGCCCGCGCGCAGCTGCTTGATGACGCCGTTTTAGTAAGCATACCAAACGAGAACCTCAAGAAGCAGCTTGTGCGAAATCGTCTTACGACCGACAATGTATAACCGAGCATATAGTACGCCCATATGGCAAGAAGAGAGATTGCACAAAAGTTGGAGTTGTGTACCAGATTGAATGCCTTGATTGCTGCCCGCAACATATTGGTGAGACTAGCAGGGCGCTGAGCGTACGCGTAAAAGAGCATTTAGGAAGTAAGAGACGAAAGAGCCTAGTGAGACATAGGAACGAGTCGCACGGTGGAATTGACTTTAGGGTCAAATAACTATACGATTTTAACGCATAAACAAGAGATGTACCACCTAACAGAGCTGTACGGCATGGCAAAAATGAAAACTATATCCGATGCCAGGTTTGAACATAATGGAACTTGGAAATTAATCGCTATAATATTGAGGTAAGCACGAGCAGTATCAGTGTTGCCTGCTTAAATACAAGTGAAAACTCCAAAATAGATTTTGACCTAATTCAAATCTCCAACTTTCATAAAAGTTGAGACATCACATGATTTGTTTGCAACATAGTCCCAACAGGTCCTCAACAGGTCCTCAGTACTGAATTGGTGCAATTGGTGTGCAATACGCATATTAACCATTGATGACAGTACGACCCACCGGTGGGTCGTAAGTGTCCTGCCAGTTCGGACAATACGACCCACCGGTGAGTCGTAAGTTTTCGGAAGCTCTAACCTTGTCAGCATGCGATGGAATTCAACGAGATTCTGGCACATGATTGGGGACACCTTGGCGAAGCTCGCCGGAGTGGTCCGGTTCCGGAATACCGTAATGTAATGTTACTGTAGATAGAGGTAAGGCAGAGATTTTAGCTGAACTTCCTCGCAGAGTGGTGTTTTGACAGTTCAAGTTTACATGCACAAGAAATACAGGGAGAGCACGAGACTGATGACAGCCCATCAAAAATTATCGATTTCATTGATTTTATTGATTTTTCGCATTGTTCATCTCAGGAAGCTCAAACCTTGCATATATAGGTTTTTAGCATGCTGATTACGAAAATGATAGTCTCAAGTTCTAATACCACCTTCTTACATCAGTTTCTTGATATTTACGAAAATTCTACCGTACTGCTACCGTAGTCCCACTGTGGGAAAGTAGTGAACAATGTGGACACTATAATCGTGATCAGCATGTGAAATAACCCCAAAAAACACAATTTTTCACGAAAATCCATGATTCGTACAGAATGACTACCGTAATCTTACCGTATACTGCCAAAAACTGAAACAAATCATATTTTGATAATCAGCCCCTTCGATAACCCTTGTGGGGATATTCTCGGAGACATGTTTTGAATTTCTACCAAAAAGACTACCATTTCGGACAATACGACCCACGGGTGGGTCGTAAGTTTGGCAGAGCAAAAAAGGCTCCTCTCCGAAATGGCAGTACACGAAAAATCGGCCTTGTCGTCAACGTGTTAGTTTGCAAATAACTCGACGATAAGTGAAGAGTTTTGAATTCCGTCTCATCAGAGTTCCACCGAAACATTTTTGATTTCCAGAGGTAATTAGTCAGTATTATAAAGTCGTTGACCGGCACTGACTGTATCGTTCCAAACTTAACGTTCAAAGCGTGTCGGCCGCCGCTGCCGAGCATTGGCACTATGACGATTAAGCGCGCCGGCTAAGCATGACCGCCAATCCTCGGCCGCAGCGCGACAGTCACGGGTGTTCAGTCTAGGGCGACACGGTCACTTTTACCCTCGATATCATCCCATATGTCTTCCCTCAACATGACGTGGATTACGTGGCTTGATGAGGCGCCGCCTCGGGCTTGCGCCACGTTTGCGTGCGCATCTTCGGCGTGATGTGGCAACAAGAAGAACGTGGAGAAGCCTGCGCCACGTTGTGCTGAGCGCCACGTCGCGCCAAATGATGCGCTCGCAACGTGGCGCGAGCCCGAGGCGAGGCGGCGCCTCATCAAGCCACGTAATCCACGTCATGTTGAGGGAAGACATATGGGATGATATCGAGGGTAGCTAGACTTTGGTCGTAGGCAATTGCCTGCGATGACTCATATATCCAACTGCAAAGGGCCAGGCGCAGGCCATAGTATGGTGAGGCAAACTTTGCGTGACGCATAAATTGGATTAGGCTGAACAATGTAAGCCCTGCGCAATTCTTGGCGTGCGCAAGAGTAGGCTTAGCTTCACTTTGAGCTTTGCATGTTCTGTCACGTCGAATTCCGTGCACGCACTCTTAGTCCCCAATATCTTAATAGCCCGTCTCTTAATCAATTTTTTTTGCAATAGTTTTTGACAAGATATCACGAGTGTGGTTAGCGTAACTGCAGCGTAGTAGCTCGACATCTGTGTGCTACATGTTAGTGGGATCCATGCTCATCTACCGTCTGTTCCAGTCCTATCAGCCAATTGGAGTGATGCGCATCCGCATCGCTACGATCTTGCGTCACGGCTACTACGCCTTGCTTGTCTGCTCCCTCTTCAATCTCTTCGCTCTCCCCGACAGCGCGCATGCAGCGAAAACTTCTGATGTTGCGAGCGCACAACTTTACGCCAACGTTTGGGAACGGCCATAGGTTGTCGGTGTTGTTGGTGTTGTCGGTGTTGTCGATGTTGTCGGTGTTGTCGATGTTGTCGATGTTGTCGGTGTTGTCGATGTTGTCGGGGTTGTCGGGGTCAGAGACAGTTTAGAAAGCGCGCGAATACAACGACCGGCAACCTCGGCAACCCCGATAACACCGACAACACCGACAACCTATGGCCGTTCACTTTGGTCTGTTTCAGTTGAGACAGTCTGTAGACATTTTATGCTTGCTTCAGCGCTGTTTCGTTACCCAGCCTGATTTCTTTTGCCCAGGCAGTTTTTTAGTTCAAAATGAAAGGACGAGTCCACGGAACGGATGTTTGTGAGCTCGCGAATTGCCTTACCTACGTCCAGGTAAACATCTACAACACCGACATTTTAACTTTGAAAGAACATGGCTTCGACATTGAGGATTGGCTTGTGAGTAAAGTAACAACATCTTTTGTTACTTTTTCAAACGTGCCGTTCAGAGGGACACAGGCTACCGCTCTATCATAATGGACGTGCCAGTTCTTAATTCTTTGAATGAGTCTGCAGGCGAGATTGTGGCCAGACGCAGACATGATGCGGAGAAAAAATTACAAAGGGTGAGCTTGTAACCATTCAACCTTTTCTTGATTCTACTGCGACTTACCAAATTGTTCACTTGTTATAAGGCCCCGGACAGACTTCACGCGATTGGGTAGGGGAACGAAAGCCGCCAGGTTCGGTCGCCTGCGCGGACTGCTGGTCCTGGAACGACATGCAGCAACGTTGCGAAAGGACCAGTTAGCCGCGAGAGGCGGCTCAAACTGGCGGCTTTCGTTCCCCTACCCCACGCGATTTGATCGTCGCGACTGAATCGCGACGAGACAACTGTTACAACATTATTCCATGCCGATCAACTTGCATTTCGGTTGTGATACTTTTCCAGCCCGAAATTTTTGAATGTGAAATGGAAATGAATGGAAATTTCGGCGATTGAGTCGCGACGACCAAATCGCGTGAAGTCTGTCCGGGGCCTAAGTGATTCGTTGACGTTAAATATGAAGCGTTATAGCCGAAATACTCGAATTATGTATGCTGTAATACCTATCTTTACAGGGTGTCCCAAAAAGATGTGCACACTGTTTGATTGTTAATAACTTTCTTGCTTTCATGTCTTTTGCCGAGCTTAAGGTACCATTCTGAAGAGCGAGGATAAACTTAGATTTACAGTATGGAGGGACTTACCAGCCGCTTTTCATTACTGTAGAATTACGGTAGGAATTTCGAGAAGGATTTTCAGCAATGGAAGGCTGTATTTTGCCTCAGAGAAAAGCCAAATAAGCCAGAAACTCTTGAACTGGGTTAATCATAGTCGCTGATTCTAGATATGAAAACTGCACGTCAGTACAATGTTTCTTTCATGAGTTAATTCAGATTTAGGGTAACAACTGATTTTCCAGTGTTCAGCAAAAATGTGAATACGCCATCAAGAAAGCTCAAAAAACTGATGAAAAGTTATGTAGTGAAATCAGCACGCCTGAAAACCTTGCTACACAATTTTTTAGATTTTTTTGAAATTATTTCAGCAAAAGGCTTATCCCACAGTGATGCTGCATGCTGGAAGTTCATACCGTATTCCTACAGTAGCCAAAAGAGATTGGAGTTTCGCTTAATACTGTAAATCTAAGTTAATCCTCGCTCTACAAAATGATACTTCAAGCTCGGCAAAAGACATGAAAGCAAGAGAGTTATTAACGATCAAACAGTGTGCACATCTTTTTGGGACACTCTGTACATGTGCGAGTTGTGATTCTTGTCATGTCAGGCTTTTGATAGAGCAAGAACAAGTTTTACCTTGTTTAAGATGTGGCAATCTAAACCCTTATCATTTAATTTAGATGATGTGTATTCTCACTTGCAGGGAAAGATGGTCGTCCATACTCCTGACTTACACGATGATCTTCTCACACCTAAATCGTCCTCAAAGCCTCCAAATGTATGTGAATTTGAAGCTTCTTTGTCATTGACAATGTCGTCAACTAGGAGCGGTCGTATCGCTTGGCCGTCCCTCTTTTGGGCTTGCACCGCATTCGCTAAAGTGTCCTATGAATTTTCTCACGCCCAGTCAACGTGAAGCTTGACTCTGTCTCCTTCCACGCTCAAGTGTGAGTAAATCATAGAACGACACGTTGGCGAATGCGGCGCAGAAAGCAGGCGAGGCGGCCGCGCGGGACCCTAAGCTGCTAACGCACCCGACAGTGCGGTTGTGATAGGCTGTATTCTATCGTTAGAGCGTACAACAGCACCCGCGTCCGTCTTAGGCGTTAGCGTTAGCGTTTACCTATGTATGTCGCTGAGAAACAATTACAGCTTGTCCCGGCTGCTTGTAGAATTGCGAGCAGCCGGGACAACCTATAATTTTTGGAATTGCGTACTCTCAGAACATGTCTCGCTTTATTGATGCACTCTTTGCTCTTTCATCCATTCACCTTTGCATGGCGCAGTTGCTCTCTGTGCGTAACCTGCAGCCTATCACAATAGATATAGAGCATTTACTAGCTCGATATATAATTGCTTTTAAGACCCTTAGACATGCTCTAGCGAAAGGAAATGGAGAGATCTCAGAAGATGAAACACTTTACGAGGATTGCAAGCTGTTGTCAGGAGAGGAACCGCATATTGATACTGCAATAACAACAGGAGAAACTACATCAATGGGTTGTGCCAAAGACCGTCATAGTAATTCTACCTTCCACCACAGCTTCCCGACATTGGAGAGACCTACGATTACCCGGAATAATGGTGTAGATGAAGAAATGTCAGGACTCGTAAGCGCTACCGCTGGACACAGAGCAGACGATTTGATGAGCGATGACACTTCTTATGTTATCACCGAACTGAGTCCCCCTATCGCACCACTGAACATCAAAAGCTCGGAAACCATCGAAGAAAACAACACTGCATCCAATATAGCAGCTATAAGCCCATCAGAATCTCGTAGTATAAATGCTGATAGTTCTATAGTGCATGACACTGGAAACGAAGCCGAAATGTCACCAAAGGTAGGCTCTCGTCATGAACAAATGCTGAAAATAAAAGAAATATTTAGGTGAACGCTCCTGCAAGAAAAGGTAGATGGAAGAATCACCAGTTATCGCCTTTTGTAAGGACCTTTGAGTGCCACTACCCGGTATGCCTTCAGGCGGCCATCTTCACGCGTGTCATCAGTGTTACCAGTTTATTATGTTACTAGTGTTGGTAGTTTACCAGTGTTACCAGGGTTATCCGGAAGACCAATATAGCCGGTTTATATAGTTACTAGCGCTACTAGTGTTACTAGTGTTACCGTCTTTACCGGTGTTGTATGATGAAATGATGACTACGACTGCCTCATTTCTTCGAACGGAATCTTTGCGACTGCTGACATCTCGTTTAAAGAAAGGTGCCCTTAGCGTCACAAATAAAACTGGTAATACGAATAACTGGTAACACGGGTATACTGGTAATATTGGTATCACGGGTAAGTATGGCCGAAGCCCTACCATTAGACTGGTTGAAGATTCACTGTGTATCACATCAGGCGTGTACCACCAAAATCATATGGCGTCCAGGATATGGTAAGAATCGCTTGGTCACTCATGTAAGAATTCACTGGGGAAAGAAGCTGAAGAAGTGCAGGCATTGCGATTACTCGGCTACACACTGGGGCGGGGTACAGTCTATCGAATTATTTTATTCGCATTTATTTTGATTATTTGCTATCTGACAATTTTTTACGAATAATCGTGGACTAATGTAGCAACTTTCACAAGTATTGTACTATCAAGCTGGGTTAATTTCAGATTTATCAACATCACCAACGCAAACATCCAGATGAGGAATTTGCCGGTGCCATCGATCTTGAGTGCGTTTGATATTGTAACATTGGTTTGTTGCGATCTCATCTGTGACATTGATATTTGCCAGGACAGAGCAAGATATGAGAGAGCTGATGGAACTTTGGAGGCAATGTTATCCAGGTAAATTTTGGCTATCATTTTTATTACAATTTGTTGCTCTTTAATATGTTCAACTATTGAAAAAAAAACCTGATGCTCTATTTTGCATCACATTGAGCTCTACCTTGGCAACGATATGCACGTACCATCCCTATATACTAGCATTTGATTGCTAAATATAGAAATTGACAACGTCGTGGCCTGGCAACAACGTCTTATTTTTCCATAGAATACCGGCTGTAAGGTGGGGCATTCTTCAATCAAATAAATTCTCATCGCTCTTTCATAGAGAAAAAGTGAGAAATTGAGCTGAAGTGAGAAGTAAGACTTTAATAAATATTTGTACTAGTGATGCATTTTGAATGCGTCATTAAGTTTCTAATTTCTTCTAAGGCCTGGCTGACTTCACGTGATTTCATCGTCGCGATTCATCGCTACAAAACAAGTGTTACAAGTCCATTAAGAGCCGATCTCCTTTTATCTCGGTTGTGATAGTTAGTCACTATAAGTCGAGTTGGAAAACTATCACAACCGAAACGCAAGAAGATCAACATGCAATGATATTCGTACAATTGCCTTGTCGCGATCAATCGCGACGATGAAATTGCGTGAACTCTGCTGGAGGCCTTAGGGGTTCCTCATGTTTGCACACATCCAAATATCGTTGTTTATATCCTTCTGATAGTCGTCAAATTTATCGTTTCAGGTACACAACCATCTCATCGTCATTTCTATCGCAAAACATCTACATTTGATACTTAGCTAAGTCGCAGTACAACCAACCAGCCATCTATTTTTTGCTGTCAGCCGTGTTCAGGTGCTGTTGAAGAAGAATTTTGTGACCCTAAGCTGGCACGTATCACTCGCGCAAGCCGTTTTCTACATAGCTGTCATAATGTTTAGAGCAGATGTATTTTGTTTGTTTGTCGTCGACTCATAGTAAATTGTTCTTGTATATCTTACGCTACTTTGTGCCTGTAAAATTTGTGTCTTTGTCCTAGTAAGTTTCTGTAGTCCTTCAAGTGCTGAATAATTAAGAAATCTGTGTTGATGCGCTGTATCTCGTTTGCTGTGTTTTTATTGAGGTGATCATCAAATAATATGTCTTTAGTGTTTTATAGCGTAATAGAAGTATGAAAATTTTTTGAGGAGATTCGTTGTGTAAACCTCTGCTTTCTGGCTGGATTCATACTGGTCCGTCAGTTCTGGAAAGTCCCAGTACAGCGCACAGTTTGAGTGCTGTGCTGGAACTGTTCCGCAACTTACGGATCAGTGTGAACCCAACCTGTGGTGTATCTCCAAAATCTGTATCAAGCATGACACCACTAGATAAATTTGGAACTCAAATGCTGGAAGTCGGAAACTCATACAAATGCAACTAGACACCAGCATTCAGTAACTTTCCAGTCCGCTTCCGGAGTTGAAAACGTTGGACGGCTAGTGAGACAAAGCCTTTGTCTACTATTTTTTGGAGACTTGTCTAGTACTAATGTAAGCAGAAGTTCTAAGTTGAAGCAGCTGGGGAAATTGTACCTTTTCACAGTCTTCGCAACAAGCTCTGCTGTAGACCTTATTGTTATTATACGTACGAAACGGGAGGAGTTACAGGAATTATATAATTAAGTTAATGATAATAAGGTATATTTTCTTTACAGTGTAGAGATAATAAATAGTGAAAAATGGCTTTTGAAATACAAAAACACTGTACTGGAGACTTGGTGAACGAATAATTCCTTACTAGACGTAAAATATTCTTGATTGTCTACTAGCGCATTGGAGAGGATTCAGAAATTTGCATTGGGCTGACGAAATGACAGACTGGTAATGGAATGATATGCAGTCACCCTGTCTATGGCAGCTTTTTTCAAAAAACTCAGTTCTGGGAGACTACAGTTGCAGCTAGATTTGTCCAAAATCGCGGGATTACCGGGATTCGCGGGCTTCGCGACTTTACGGGATTCGCGAGATCCGCGGGATTTGCGGGATAAGCGGGATTTAGCTATAACTTCTTTTAAAACAGCTTTATTTGTAATCTGCGTGAAGATTTCGCTTCAGCTTGATGAGACGAATCTTTTGACATACGGTATGTCCGTAATTTATGGTGAGACGGTAGACATATGGTGACTTGTTATTTTCTATGGTGAGGCTCTTGTGAACATTTATCACAGCGTAAATCGCGAATAGCAGTTCTGGTACGAAGTTCTCATTATCGAAAACTATCGCGAAAAATTGGGCAATTTCTATTTACCTTTATCACTAACTAGCTGGCTTACCCGGCTCCGCCGTATGTTCCGAATAGAAAACTCCATTTCCCGATCCGGACCAAACTTGGCACACATACACTTCGGGCCCCGGCGGGTGTCACAGTCCACTTTTCGTTGTCGATCGATGCCGATTTTATCGATTTTTTGCAAAATTTGAGCGAGGGGGCTGGAATTTGGCAGAGGGGTGTAATCGAGCATGCTGATCACCCCCACGGGGGTGATCAGCATGCTCGATTACCCCCCTGTGCCAACTCCCAGCCCCGTAGCTCAAATTTTGCAAAAAATCGATAAAATCGATATCGATCGATGATGAAAAGTAGCCTATGACACCCGCCGGGGCCCGAAGTGTATGTGTGCTAAGTTTGGTCCCGATCGGTTCAGAAATGGAATTTTCTATTCGGAACATACGTACATACAGACATACATACATACAGACATACAGACATACAAACAGACATTCAACTTTATATCACTAATTAAGCATTTTGTCACTTATCACTGATGATATCACAAAGTTGGATCATTTTTGACATACAGTAAGAAATGTACTTAAGAAAATGCTGTGCGGGTTTTTATCGCTCTACTAGCTGGCTTGCCCGGCTCCGCCGGGCCTGCCAGCTAGACCCGTGTACGTATGTTCCAAATAGAAAATTCCATTTCTGAACCGATCCGGACCAAACTTTGCACACATACACTTCGGGCCCCGGCGGGTGTCACAGTCCACTTTTCGTTATCGATCGATGTCGATTATACCGATTTTTATCGATCTTTTTTGCAGAGTTCACCTACAGGGCTAGGAGTTGGCACAGGGGGGAAGTGAGCATGGGGATTCCGAACACAATATTAGTTTTCAGAATTATCGATTACTTTTATTGATTTTATCGATTTTTTTGTAAATTTTGACCTGCGGGGCTGGGAGTTTGCACAGGGGGGTAATCGAGCATGCTGATTACGAACACAATATTAGTTTTCAGGATCGTCCATTACTTTTATCGATTTTATCGATTTTTTTTGTAAAGTTTGACCTGCGGGGCTGGGAGTTTGCACAGGGGAGTAATCGAGCATGCAGATTACGAATACAATATTAGTTTTCAAGATCGTCCATTACTTTTATCGATTTTATCGATTTTTTGAAAATTTGAGCTAGGGGGCTGGAATTTGGCACAGGGGTGTAATCGAGCATGCTGATCACCCCCCTTGGGGATGATCAGCATGCTCGATTACCCCCCTGCGCCAACTCCCAGCCCCCTAGCTCAAACTTTGCAAAAAAATCGATAAAATCGATAAAAGTAACCGATAATCCCGAAAACCAATATTGTATTCGGAATCCCCATGCTCGACTACCCCCCTGTGCGAACTCTCAGCCCCGTAGCTCAAACTTTGCAAAAAAATCGATAAAATCGATAAAAGTAATCGATAATCCTGAAAACCAATATTGTATTCGGAATCCCCATGCTCGATTACCCTCCTGTGCCAACTCCCATCCACGTAGCTCAAACTTTGCAAAAAATCGATAAAGTCAATAAAAGTAATGGGTAATTCCAAAAACTAATATTGTATTCGTAATCAGCATGCTCGATTACCCCCCTGCGCCAACTCTCAGCCCCGTAGCTCAAACTTTGCAAAAAAATCGATAAAATCGATAAAAGTAATCGATAATCCTGAAAACCAATATTGTATTCGGAATCCCCATGCTCGATTACCCCCCTGTGCCAACTCCCACCCCCGTAGCTCAAACTTTGCAAAAAAATCGATAAAATCGATAAAAGTAATCGATAATCCTGAAAACCAATATTGTATTCGGAATCCCCATGCTCGATTACCCCCCTGTGCCAACTCCCAGCCCCGTAGGTGAACTCAGCAAAAAAATCGATAAAAATCGATAAAATCGATATCGATCGATGACGAAAAGTAGCCTATGACACTCGCCGGGGCCCAAAGTGTATGTGTGCCAAGTTTGGTCCCGATCGGTTCAGAAATGGAATTTTCTATTCGGAACATACGTACATACAGACATACAGACAGACATACAGACAGACATACAGACATACAAACAGACATTCAGCTTTATATATAAGATCTCTTATAGTATATAATCTACAAGCTTTTTCGGTTCATTTGCGCATTAGGTGCAGTAGATAGATCCCTCACTGCAGCAATCGATTGAAAAAATTGCGAAAATTCAAATTCGAGTTGCGAAATCGGCGATTAATTGGTCCCTCGCTGAAGTACTACGCAACCGACACAAATCCAGTTCATTTTCGACGTCCGATAGCAGACTGTTGTTTGTTGGGTATTGTTCTTGTAGATACGGTTATTTCGGTGCCCGTTATTAGTCGTTATGAATACATACAGTTATTCTGATTCTCTTACTCCCTAAAATGTAAACGAATTTCAGTCCATTCAAGTAAACTTCATGTTATCTTACGTTGTTTCGCGTTGTGCTGTCTGATTATTATTAATCAACTAGCTGGCTTATCCGGCTCCGCCCGGCCCTGTCAAAACATTATGATAACTTCCCATTCCTATCCTTCTGCAACCTTTCCCTGTGCCCACTTCCCACTTCTACATGCCAATCCCCTATTCCCGCTGTGTTAGTAATCTGCATGCTCACTTAACCTCCCCCCCCCGTGTGCCACCTCCCAGCCCCGTAGCTCAAACTTTGCAAAAAATCGATTGGTGTTGAGTTTCTTGGGATCACATGTGTTTTCGACCATATCTGCTTCCCATGAATAAACTGGAAGATAGGTTGGAAAGAATGACTTCATGGCTGTCGGACTTGCGCGGAAAACTCCGGACTATGCAAGAATTCTGGACGTTCTGAATCGTCTTCACCTGCGCATAATAATAAATACTCTGAATCGACGTCCTCAAGACGATTTCTGGACAACCAGTTGTGGAATATGACACGTGCACCGCCTTTAAAAGTTCCTTATCCAAGTGGGATTGAAGTTCCCCTCCCCTTCATTTTAATCCAAATGTGTCTGTTGAACATGAAGCTTCTCCTCTGAGCAAGTGAAGCAAACCTCACTGTCACTGGAAAAATAAAACTTTTTTGAGATTCATGGCGGTAGAACAGGTAAGCCAAGGGTGAAACGTAATGTGCTGGTGTACTCAAGCTCTGGAACAGATGAGGATTATGAATTTTCCCACCATCGCTGTAATGCTGAACACATGCCAGGTATTCCAATATGTTTATTGCCGGAAAAACGGAGCTCAAATTTCTAATAAGGTGATCGGTTTTAAGTTTCTTGAGATTCCATGAAATCGACCATATCTGCTTCCCGTGAATAAACTGGAAAATAGATTGCAAAGAATGACTCCAAAATGACTGTAGGACTTGCGCGAAAACTCCGGACTACGCAAGAATTCTTACATAGAGCATCATGAGAATTTCCTAATGCGTGAACAAGAAACAATTTTGTGAAATTTTTCAAGGAGAATAGTAATCAGCAAGCATCGCAAAGAAGAATTCAATGCATAGTACGTGTAAAAAGATGGAAGTCGATAGCATTCCTCTTAGTCCCTTTCAAGAGTCTTTGGAACTTCTCGCAAAGGTAAGGAGAATGGCCAGCGAACTTTGAAAATTTACGTCCGCCCAAAGTCTGCCTACCGCAGCTCGGAAATAACTCTAGTGTGGGAAGCGAAGCAAATACGATGCATTTAATTAGCTAGTCGGATCACTCATGCATGGAGAACCTCTGATAATTCGCATCCGTTCATTTTTCTTGTACTTTTGGGAGTGGTACTCGCGTTGGAATTTCCCACGGCCTGTGTCGTTTACATAAAAAACCATGATTCAAGGAACTTGGCTTTTAGCGGTTTGCACA